GCTATGGGCCAGGGTGGGGCCCATGAGTGGATTTGGGACATGTTTCAGAGGCTGAGAGACAAGCCATGGCCAAGGGGTGTTCACAGGGATTAAAGGGAAACTCGTCATCATGATGGGCCACTAGTCACATAGTTCTCTGAGTGGGTGGGACCACCATTACCTTGGATAAGGAAGATTTGAAACAAAGCACCAAAAGAGTAGGGTATAGCTCAGTGGTAGAGTATGTGCTTAGCATGCAAGAGGTCCTGGGTTCAATCTCCAGAACCTCCATTAAAAAAATAAGTAAACCTAATTACCTCCCCTAACCTCCCAAAAAAGAGAGGAAGCACTAAGATCTGGGTGAGCAACACATGATCCCCTAGGGGAGCCAGAGGAAGCAGCTTGGTCTGGGCTTGTGGGGGGTCTGGCTGGGGTGGAACAGACAAGACAGGCCCTTTGGGGAGCGGTTGACAGCACCTGCCATGGGTTAGGTAATGGGTTCTTCAGCAAGCCCAGATTCCCAGGATCCAGTCCAGCTGCTCCATTCCCATCTGGAGTGAGGGTAGGGTAAAGACAAGGGGCTCTCAGAGATGCAGGCAGGGGAAAGGAGTGTCCTCTGTGCCTCTCAGCTGCAGTGTTAATCAACCTGCCACTCCAGACTAATTGCAGTGAGGCTGGAGTGGGGATGAGGTGGAAGGCCTGTCGGGAAGCTGGGGAGGGGGGAGGGGGGGAGAGGCCCTGGGTGAGAAAGGGATTTCAGGGAGACTGAGAAGCTGTCTTACTTACTTTTAAAAAAATTTTTTTGGTCCAGCCTTTTTTCTTTTACTTTTTATTTTATTTACTTTTATTTGGGGAGGGGGTAATTAGGTTTATTTATTTATTTATTTAAATGGAGGTACTGGGGATTGAACCCATGACCACATGCATGCCAAGCATACACTCTACCACTGAGCTATATATACCCTCCCCCAAGAAGCTGTCCTTTGATTTGCCCATCTCTCCTTTCCCTGAAATCCTACTATGTGTTAGCTCTGGCTGTGACACCAAGTCCTGCCTCTAAGACAAACCCTAAATCTGTCCCTTGTCTGCTCCTAATCCTCCCGTGGCTTCCAGTACCCCTAGATCACAATCCACACCCCTCATTGCAGCCTAGGCTCCACGTGCCCCAGTCTCTGCCTTCCACTGCCTCTCACCTTCCTCCATCTCCCCTCATTCAACCTGCCCCAGGCTCACCAGCTTTGTCTTCGTCTAGCTGCTCCTTAAACCTGCCTCAGGACCTTAGCACAAGCTGTGCCCTCAGCAGGGAATGCCCTTCCCCCAGTTCTCCCCATGACTAGCTGCTTATATTCATCCATTCTTCAACTCAAATGGCACCACCTTAGAGAAGCCCTTCCTGCCCAGCCTGGACAGCCTCACTCACTCACCCACCCACCCCCACATATTATCCTTTCTCTTGGTTTAACATCTGTCTGCCAGCCTATGAGCCTCCACATCCTCCAGGCCCAGTGCTGGACCCAGCACAGAGTAGGTGCTCCATGTACAAATGGAAAGATTGATGCTGTAAATTGAGTGTTTTGGGGGAGTGTCAGGGGGGTCCCCACTTTGCAGAAGAGGAAGGTGCAGCTTGGGGAGGGAGCAAGATGCTGGGGTTCACTGGGGCTATCTGATCACCTACCACGTTAAAGAGGTGGGCCAGGGAGTGTCTGGGAGTGGGGAGCAGTTAGGGGCTCAGCTCAAGCACAGGGGTTCAAGGCACAGACAAGCGTCCTGAAGGTTCAGGTTCAAACCTCGCTCAGCCACTTACCTTGAGGGAGGGTGAGCTTCTCTGTGCCTCAGTTTCCTCATCCATAAACTGGGGCTACCCTTATCTTTCTCCTCCTCCAGCAGACAGCTAGCGCTTGGAGTTAATGCATGTGGGACATTGCCTGCTGCAAGGGACCAGCTCATCCTCACTTCTCTTGGCCACATAATTTTAGCCCATTTTTTCATATGAGCATCTAGAGTTCCAGAGAGGTTACCAGCCACTCAGGCATCGGTGATCAGCCTGGGATTCAGCTCCTGCTTGGTTCTCCGCTCACTACCTTCTTTTTCTCCTACCTCAGTTTCCCAGAACGGGGCCACTGGCCCGGCCTCGAATGTCTGGCCTTACACCCTCCCTGCCCTGGGCTGAGAGCACCCAGGCCCCTTTTCTTGGGCAACCAAAAACTTTGCATCCAGACCCAAGCAGTCCCTGCTGCCCCCGCCCCCACCGCTGGTCCCCTTGCTCCCCAGAGCAATGGCTGCAGCCCTGGGCTAGATACTCAAATGGAGCCTCAGCCTCTTGTGGCTTCTCTGGGCTTCAGTTTCCCCACCCGGAAGTGGGTCCCCAGGCAGCTCTGGGTGTTTCCAAGTACTGGATCCCCTCACCCATGGCCTGGACAAAACAACCCCACTTCAGCCACCCCCCACCCCCTACTGCTCACCTGACTTAGCGGGAAGGAGAGTTCTGTTTTGTTGCGCCTCATGGCAGCATGAGGTGGCTCTGAACCTGGGGAGATGGACGTGAGACCTCCAGGCTCCGGGATCCCCTCTATGCCCCTGTGAGACCCTCCTAGACAGACAGCCCACTCCCACATCCCGCACCCTCTTCTGGGGCCCGCAGGCCCTCAATCAAGGTAGCCTGGGCCGGACCACAGGCACCAGTGTGGGACTTCCATCCAGGGGCAGCAGGCCTGGTCCCCCCACACATTCCCCAAGTCCCCTCCCTTCCCCCTGCCGGAGTCAGCAGCCTTGGAGCATTAGGACCCTCAGGAAGCAGTCCCCTGGCCCCAGGAGTCCCGTGGAGGATCCATTCAGCTTCCAGCCCAGCTCTGGAGGGTTCAGGGACCCCAGACCAACCCCTGAGAACCCTCAAAACTCACAAAAGCTCTGTGAGGCCTGGGTAGACCCGAAGCTCACTGCCACCATTGAGTGCTGCCTGAGTCCTGTGACCTCGCAGGAGCAGGGGAGGGGCGGACTAAGCCTGCCTAAGAGGTGGCCCAGGGTCCCCGCCCCAGTGAGCCCCTTAACTAGATGAGTGCCAGGCCTGAGCAGGACACACCCACATACTACCTTTGGGGCCAAGCCAGGAGGTGGCAGGCAGAGTGACTGGGAGAGTGTGAGGCTGTCACTAAGACGGTGCGAGAGAGAGAGTGGCCAGGAGCATGACCAAGTGTGCTTGCGGTGGGTTTGGGAGGGGAATCCAGTAAAGGGGGTGTTAAGTTTAATTGTTCCCATGTTTGCTTATGAGAGAGGGAGGGAGATGGAAACATGGAAGGCCAGAGAGAGAAGAGGAAAGAGTTAGAGAGAGAGAGAGAAACAGAGGGAGGGGCAGCTTTGAGGTAAACACGGGAGGATTTTACTAGCTTGGGGTCTGGGACCTGGGCTTCACAGCAGAGCCTGGGAGTTGTGGCCTCGGGAGTTTGAGGATGGCCTTTGGGGGTCCCTAGAGGCTTCCAGAAAGTTGCCCACCATGCTCTGCCGCCCCAGGCAGATCTATGACCCTCTTTGGTCTTCTGGTCAATACTCCCTCCACAAACAGTGGGGGACTGGAGCTGCAGCAGGAACCAGGGGGACCCCATCAGGAGAGGCTGTGGGGTGAAGGGGCCTGTGGGCAGGGCAAAGAGATTTCTGTATTACTGCTGCCTCCCAAGCTGCCAAAAGTTAATGTTTCACCAGACCCGCTGCCTGCTGGGGAGGCCATGCTGTCCCCTCTGCCCCCAAGAATCATTAGAGCATGACCGTTCCCTGGGCAGGCTTTACCTAGAAGTGCTGGATGACCTTGACCCCCAGACTCTCTGACCACCCATTTCACTACGGGGTAAACCCAGCCCTGAGGGGACAGCTCCAGGCCTGAGTCATGGCCAAGGCGCATGGCTGAGACCCAGCCTGAAGCCTCGGTCTCCCAATCTGCTAGAGAAGCCTAGAAGGTCCAGTGGAGGGGGGCGTTAGAAGGAAGATCCCACAGACCCCAACTCCCCAGAGTCCCTAGCCCCAGGCCTGCCCCTTCCTCTAACTCAGCTTTCTCTCTTGAACAATGGGAGAGGAGAAAGTGGGCTCCCAGGCTCAGATCCTGGGAAATGGGACCGAGACAATGGGGATTGGGGAGGGGGAGCATTTTGACTCCCTGCTCTCTGCATGCTGCCAGCCCTTTCCAGCCTCCAAGCCTTTGCGCAGGCTATTCGTGACTCCTGTAGAGCCACTCCCCGTGTTGATCTGCCCTCCTAAAGATCTGAAGGAAGATCAGCCAAATTCTGGCACATGCTGGCTAGAAACTCCCTCATGGTTTTATCCTATTTTCTATGGAAATGGTGGATTTTTACTGAGCAGTGGGACCTCAGCTATCACCTGGTACGCAAGCGCTTAACCAGGAAGTCAACTGAGGAACTGCGCCTGCGTGAGCCCACCATTTTGCTGTCTGGCCCCACCGACAGGAACGCACAGCAGCCCCAACTGGGCCTGCTTTTCCCATTGCCATGGTCGAAGATGGCCACTGAACTGCCCAAGAACACATTGCCATCTCCCCCAGAGTTCTGGCTAAAACTTACACTCTTTCCCATAGCCCACCTGGTGCCCCACGGACCCCTCCCTCACTTGGCTCTGGTCCTGCTCACCTCTTTGTTGTTTTTCCAAACACTCCAAGTTTTTCCTACCACAGGGCCTTTGCATTTGCTGCGCCTGCTGCCTGGGACATCTTCCCTGGTTTTCCCCAGGGTGGCTCCTTCTCCCCTTTCAAGTCTAGGCACAAATATCACCTTACAGAGAGACCTCCCTACCTTCTCAGCAAACCTGGACACATGGGCCCCTGGGATCCAGCCACAACCCCAATCTGTGACTTTGCGGCCCCCAGCGACATCTGAAATTATGTCATTTGATCCCCTGGCTGTTGTCTGTCTCCTCCTTGAGACTGTTGGCCCCACAAGGCAGGAGAAATGGTCCCCATTGTGACCCCAGCACATAGTAGGCACTCAAAAACGTTTGTCAAATGAATCAATGACTCAGGATGCCACAGAGGAAAAGTAGGGGCTTTATTCCCACAAGCCTTGCCCTTCTCCAGATGCCCCAGCTCCATCCAAGCCCCCTCTCTCTCAGCCTCCTGAGGATCACTTCAGTGGGTGATGGGCAAAGGATGACCTTCAGTGGACAGTCTCCTGAAGGAGGAATGCAGACAAGAGGGTGTTCAGGCACCAGTGGGCTTTGCAGCAGGGGCTTGCCTTGCTTGGGAGGGCAACCCCCCACCAGCCCAGCATTCCCTCCACCATGGATACCTCATCCATCCTCTGGAACTCAGACACGTCTTTGTGGCAGCACTTCACAGCCATTACCACAGACCCGATGAGCAAAATAGACACCAGCAGACACACAGCCACCACCACACCTGGGTTCCTGTGTAACTTGGGGGCCTCACTGTCACCTGGAGCTGAGGGGAGGAGCCCTGAGTCAGCCCTGGACCCCACCCCTCCTAAAGCTGAGCCACCCACAGGGCCCAGGGCCTTTTAAGTCCCTTCTCAGGAAGCTGTGCTTACTTCCCTCTCCAGTCACTGCTGTAACCACTTGCAAGCACATTTTTATCCTTTTGCTTTTGCTTTTGTTTTTTTCTTTCTTTCTTTCTTTTCCTTTCTCTTTTGAATATATTGTCTACAAGAAATTCATTTTCTTCAGTGTGTTTCTGTTGCCATTATTGGCCACTCTTAGGAGCGCTTGCAAATTGGGAGAAAAAAAAATCTAACCTGGAACTCTGTTCCCAATGACCTTCTGGGATACATCCAAAATTGGACACTTTGTGAAGATGACTTATATCCTGTGTCTTTAAGCAAAATGTCATTATGCTTCCTGTTTGCACTCTGTTTGTAATGTTTTAGAGAAAACATACTATTTTGAAAGCCAATTTTTCTAGACCCCCTGAAAATGCTTGGCCTCTATTAGACCCCTGGGGCCCCATGTGATCACACCCTGCAACTTCCCCACCATCACTGCCCCTCACTAGTAACCCACTAGCCCCATTCCAGCTACCTCACTCTTCCTCAAATGCACCCAGCACAGTTCTCCCTCAGTGCCTTTGCACTTGCTGTGCTTGCTGCCTGGGCTGTTCTCCCCCTAGGTACCTGCATGGCTCCCTCCTTTACCTCCTTCAAACCAAGACCTCTGCTGAATAGTCTTTTAAAATTTCAAATCCTTTGCACTCACATTCTGATCCCTAATCTTGCTCTATTTTGTTCTTTTATAAACAAGTATATAATTTACTTATACCGTCTCCCAACATAACTGGGTCCCACAGGATCTGACACATTCTAGGTGCTTCATAAATGTGCATGGAAAGAAAAAGGCTTGAAGAGGTTTAGGTGATGCTGGGTTGGGGCGTCAGAGGGTGGGAAGAGGCCCTTCCCAGTAAATTCTTTGGACTATGTCTCCCCCTGGTGGCCAATCTCAGAGCTGCAGCCTGGTACCAACAACCATCCCCTCTCACCTGCGCAAATGCTCCAATACTCACTCACCAAGGCCAGAGGCCACGGATGTCCCATCAGTGGTGGCTGAGGACATGGAGAAAGGCCCCGTGCTGGAGCTGGGGTAAGTAGGACTCGAATGCGGGGTGAAGGAGGTGAAACTCAGGGGGCTGGAGTTGGGGGTGGGGGGGAGCTCTGAACTGGGGGAGCCAGAGCTGGGGTGGGTAATTGTCTCTGACTGTAGTAGGGTGGGTGGGATGGTGGAGGTTGCCCATGAACTTGAGGGGCTGTGGGAGGTTGTGGAATCTGCCTCTGAACTAAGGGTGCTAGGGTGAGTGGTGGAGCCTGTCTCTGGGCCTGTCAAGGGGCGGGTTGTCACTAAACTGGAGGAGCTGTGGCTGGAGGAGGAAATCAGAGGTTCATGAGTTGAGTTCGTGGCCTCTGGGGCTGTAACACCTGGAAAGAAGATACCATCAGGGTGCAGGGAGCAGATGATTAGGAATGAGGGTGTGCAACCCTGGCCCCAACCCCCCTCTGGATGCTCTTCCCCCATTATGCCAGATAATCAACACCCACTGTTTAAGGAGACTTGGAGGACTTAGTGCACCATGTCGGTGCTCAGAAAATGAGGTGCCCTGTCAAGTTCCTTATCCGAAGTCCCACAGTCAGGGTTCCAATCCAGGTTGGACCCTCCCTGCCCCCTCCTCTTGCTTTAGGGCTCTAGAAGCCCTCTGGATATAGGGAACAGTTCAACCCAGGCAGCATGCTGGACAGCTCTTTTAAACCTTCTGGGACTCAGTTTCCTTGTCTGTAAAATGGACATCACAGGAAGTCAGAGTCCCTGAGAGTTCACACAGGTCTGGCACATAATAATGTTGGGTGGCACAGATCCACATCTGAGCATCCAGGGAGAATCCACCCTTATCTTCTTCCCCAGGTACCTGGAAGGTCCCCCATGGCTAAACTCAGAGTTTTCATGGGAGCACAGAGCTCTAGGGCTCTAGGAACAGCCAGCAGATCAAGGCTCTGGAACCCCCACTCCCTTGCTCCAGCTGCTCCTTAGTCCCTACTCCATCCTAGACACCAGGCCCAGGGGTCAGGTTGAGGGTGAGTAAAGATTTCATGGGCCATCTCCCGCAATTACTTCCTTCCCTGCTGCTGGACACCTCAGCTACTTGCAAATTCATTCATCAACCACTCCTTGCCCCACCCTACCCACTCCGCCCTGGGTCAATCTTTGTGCTTCCTCCTCACCTCACCCCAAGCAGCAGAAATGCGGAAATAATACCCAGTTCTGGCCCCAGGACAGGGCTGGGTCCACATGTAGACCCCTATTTCTCTGTCCAGTTTCCCAGGCCCTTTGGGAATAACAGATGAATCTAGAAGAGGCATGGTGGGGGTGGGGGGAGTGTGTAGCTCACTGGTAGAGGTCCTGGGTTCAATCCCCACTACCGCTATTAAAAAACTTAAAAATAAACCTGATCCTCCCCCGAAAAAAAAGGAGGCATGGTGCGCTGGCCTTACCTCACCCCCATTTTATAGATGGGGAGCTGAAGCTCAGAATAGTAGAGGGTCTGGTCCCAGGTGACTGGGAGGTGGGAAGAGGGCCTCTCAGAGACCTCCGAAGAGTCAAGGACTAAGAGTCCAGCCTCCCCAAACTTCCTCTTACCATCATTTGAGGAGGAATCCAGATGACAAGAGGTTTCTGCTGAAATGAAGAGGACTCAGGGGCCACAGTGGATCCCAAGCCAAACCAGAACTCTGGGGAGCTGAACTTTTAAAGGAACTGAAGAAAAACTAGTGGGCCTGGAAAGAGGAGGTGGTGGTGGACACAAGCTCTGCTGAGTGCCTTCTGGAGAGCTGACCAGAAGGTAAAATGGGGCTGTTTCTATGCACTTGGCCAGGAGTTTGCTTTGCCCAGAGACTCCCAAACCAGGAAGCTGGCATGAGCCAAGTCAACTGGTTCTAATCTGGATCCAGCAACAGGCTGCGAGATCTCAGCTCAGTGCCTAAGCTATGAAATGGGGATAAACATGGTGCCTTCTGAGCGAAATCCTTGTCCACTGTAAGAGTCTCAGGCATGGTGGCCTCCACTCTAATATTCCAGGTTTGGGGCTAGGACATGGATCAAAGAGAATGATGACTTGGTGGGATGGAAGGGCTAGGGAGTGGATGCAGCAAGTTCAACTCTTCTCCACACTGGGAACCGTCTTATGGGGGAGCAGAAAGAAATTCAGTCAGGCATCTGAACTTCTCCTGGGAGTCATAGATGTTCAGTGACCAGGAAGTGAGCTCTTCTCCCCACCTCCCCACTTCATGGTGCTGGAGTCCTCACCCTTCTCCCTTTGGGGGCTGGCTAAGAGAAACTGAGGTTTGAAACAGAATCTCAAACTGGGTATGAGGCTGTCACTCACTAGCCTCTCACTGGCTCAGGTCATGCCGGGGTTCGTTGAACAGGCAGCCTCAGCAGGGCTGGGGTAGGGGTGGAGGGGGGGGTGCTCCAGCTGTTCTCATGACCTCCCCACCTTGCTTCTGGGAGAAGGAGCAACCCTTTTTGGGGAGGGGGGGGAGGCTGGCCCATCAGCGTGGCCTGAGGGAGGAATCCAGACGACAGGTGTGTGGCTAGGCCATATGCTCAGCTTCCTGAAAGCCGTGGCTGTTTCTTTCCTGTTCTTACCTGTAGAGGTGACAGTGTGAGGACTGAGAGTCGTACTAGAAGTTTTCGGCAGCAGCAGCAATAGCAAAGCCAGCAGCAGAAGCGGTGGCGGCAGCTGGGAGCCAGCCATTCCGGCGTAGGGAGTGGGGACGGCGCGCTCTGTACAGGTGTGTGGCCGGGTGACTGCTCTTTACACGTGCGCGCCCCCTGCTGGCGGCGTGCGGGGCTACTCGGGGAGAGGCGGAGGCGGGGCCTCAGGACGCAGGGCCTCTGGGGAGCGCTACTGTTCACCAGGGGTGACATTTCTGACCCCCTCCTCCACCTGGACCCCACCCCCCACTTCTAACAAACCCGTCTGGTTTAAGACCCTGAGGCTTTACACTCTGCTTGTCCCCTGCCCCTTCTATTTCCCGTTCTCCCCTGGAGCCCCCACCACTCCATGGCCTCCTCCATAGCTGCCCCAAACCCATGCTGTCACCCCCTCTGCTCCTCCTCTTGGCCAGGCTGTCCCCTCCGGGTGCCCCCAAACCTCCTCCTTACATCTCTGCCCTGTCCCTGACCCCACCGGCTGGGGACGTCTGTGTCCGTCTCTCTCACCCAGACGGCGGCTCCTTGGGGGTGGGCCCAGCATCCCGAGTCAGGAGACCTCTAGCATTTCCCAAATGAGGCACCCATGCATGCACCTGTTGGGTTTTCTATGGCCAAGAGACTCATGGTGGTCCTTGTAGGCCAGGTCCCCAGATACTGGCTTCTGGAGTGCCCTGGGGGTGGCTTCCATCTGGAACTGACTGGACGCTATCCCATGAGCCATGGATGGACACGATGGGACATGTGAGGCCACGCTGGCAGCCATGACCTCTGGGAAAGGCTTAGGGTTCCCACCCTAGCAATAGACCCCAGGTGCCAACTGCATGGTTGGAAGTTGGGAGGCCCCTCCTGTACAGGATGTTCCAGATTCCCCTAATTTCCCCCCACACCATGCCCAAGATGCCCCCATAAGCACAACTGGACCAAGACCCAGGCTGTGGAGGGCTTTATTCATTAGACACAGAGAGCCACACGGCCCCTCCCCTGGTGTCCCCCGACTAGGAAGCCAAGGTCCTAGACGCCAGGCCACTGCGTGTGCCGCGAGTTGTCCCACATCGCCGATCCCAAAAGCGCATCCGTGGTGAGGGAGGCCCGGGTGGAGTGGCCGCGCCAGGTGGCTTGAAGGGTCTTGGCTGCTAGCTGCTGCTGCTTCAGCCGGCGGCGTACAGTGAAGCCCCTCCAGGCAGACTGGATGGCCGTGGCTGCCTTGTTCGGGGGATGGGGTTGGCGGGGACTCCGAGGTGTTGACTGGGTAATGCAGCTCCGAGGCATGACAGCCTGGACCGCAGCACCCCGGCCCACGCCGTGCACCACTCTCGTGGGCAGAGTATGGCCACACATGTGGCACGTGCGGGGGCTGGATCCCACAAGCATCACCACACTGGGTGGGCTCCCCAGCCCGGAGCTCAGTGACCGGCAGAGGGTACAGTCATGTGGCTGGCAGGACTGGAAGCAGCGGTGGTCAGATGTAGACCTGGCCCTGGCGCCCACCTCTGCCCACACGCTTGGGAGCAGCATTTGCTGAGCATGACTCCGGCGGGTACAGAAGCCTCGCCATGCAGCCTGGATTATTGTGACAGCCCTGCAGAGCCGGGCCAGGTCCCGCCGCACACAGTAGCCACGCCAGGCAGCCTGGATGATGATGGCCCACTGGTGCCAAATCTTGATGGTACGGCGCACCAGGTAGCCTCGTGTACATGCCTGGATGATGACCACGGCATTGATGATTATCTTCTCCACAGCCTGCACTGACGCCACCAGCTCCCCTGGCTGTCTGGGATCCACTGCCACTTTGCTGCCCATGGCATCCCATGGCACAGCGTCCCTGGGTGGCTCCCACACACCACAAGGGGCCACGGTGCTGTTCCTGCGCCCAACCGCTACACTGGGGACGACGGAGTTCCACGCTTGGCCACCAGATACGCCAGCGTCCTTAGGGCCCTGGAGTACAGTGGGAGTCAGGGAGGCCCTGTGACTGTCTACAGGAGCCACAGAGCTATGGGAGTCCTGAGATCCCAGCAGCAACTTCTGGTTAAAAAGGGGTCGCAGAGAACCACTCGGTGAAGACTCATAGCCCAGAGACACCCTCCGAGCCCCCAGGTTCAGCCTAGGGATGGCTGTGCGGTGTGACACCTCACCGGTGCGGATGATTGGCATTATGGCCACTGGTGCGCCTATGGAATTTTTAAGAACTTCCTGTGAGGACTTGGAGGCATCCTCCTGCACCTGATTGGAGGGCACAATCCTTGCCACAGAATTTTCTGGCCTCTGTGGGACAGGGATACCATGCATGGACCTGTAGGATTTTCTAGGGCTAAGATACCTGTGGCCATTCTGAATCAGGTCCCCAGACACTGGCTTCCGGAGTGCGCTGGGGATGGCTTCCTTCTGGAACCCACGGGGCGCTACCTCTCTAGCCAGGGGTGGATGAAGTGGCACATGTGAGGCCACACTGGTGGCCCCTGACCTCCAAGAAGTGCTTGGGGTCCCCATCCCAGCCACAGACCCTGGGTGCAAACTGGCCAGCCTGGGTGACCTTGAGACTACAGCAGAAGCCATCATCCCACGGGAGTGGCTCTGGGGCACGTGAGCCACTGAGGGGCTCCGGGGCACAATGTGAGCCACCAAAGCCTTTTGATAAGCCGAGGGACTCCGGGGCACCACACGAGCCACTGAGGGGCTCCGGGGCACAACGTGAGGCACTGATGCCTGCTGATGAACACCAGGGACCCTGCTGGCAGCCACAGAGTGAGAACTGGGGGCCCCCCAACTGGTTGCTGACTTCTGCTGCAGGGTTGGGGTGCCACCACTGGCGATGGAGTTCTTGGCAAAACTCAGAGACTGGGGAGGGACAGAGGCCATGCCACTGGTCATAGACTTAGCTTGGCTTGGAGCCACCTCCTTCAACAGCGGCCTCTGGCCTTTGGGAAGAGTCTCGTCCTCTGGAGGGAAGTCATGGCCATAGTCAATGTCAGTTGCCAGGGGACTATGGTACATCCACGGGGTTGCCTCAAGTACCTCAGACCCCCTCCTGGATATGGACTCCTGGGGCGGAACCTTGTCCAGGTCCTCTGGCTTCATCACTGTCTGTCTGCCTATGGTCTCAAATGGCATCATCCCAAGAGCCTGGCTCAACTCTGAGGCTTTTTGCAGAACCGTGGGCACTTGGTGCACTCCCTTGGCTGTGCCATTAGCTTCCAAGGTCTGGGGATGAACTTGAGCCAGGCCAGTGGCATGGGATGCTTGGAAGGAGGCTGTAGAACCTTCCCCTGACAGGATCCCATGATATGGACGGGGGGTGATCCCAATCAGCAGGGACCCGTGTGGAAGGCCCTGGGCCATGCTTCCGGCTGTGGAGGGTGGACCAGCTGCACTAGCCATGGGCCCCAGAACCAGGCTCTGATTCATAGATGATGGGGCCACACTAGAGGCCAC